CAGTGCAGGTTGACATGGAAGGTCATTCCAACGAGCTAATTCATAAGTGAGACAGTGGAGGTTGGTTGGTTGCAGGAGAGAGGAAGCTGATGGATGCAACCTCAATAACCTTCCCTAATGCAGGAAAGTGTGCCAGACCAGGCGGGCTAATGATGAGGGCTAAAACTGCCCACCAGTGGACCACAGTGCACATCACTTTATAGGTCAGCTAGAAAGGCTGGGGTGCACCTAACCCTGGATGTGGCTGTCCACTGACTTCCAGCCTTCAGCAGGGGATGGAGTCTCTTGGTCCCTCTCTTTCCATACACACAGAGGAACTTACATTACGTAAATATGCCAGACTCACTGTGCATACTGTGCATAGCTGTACATGAGGCAAGGCACACTTGGCAGCCCAAACAAGTAGTAGCTATAAGAGGCTACAAGTGCCCTGCAGGTCTCTATTTCTGCCTATAAAGAATAATCAAATTTCTCTTCTAAACATTTAAACAGCTATCATCTACTAGATCATCATTGCTATATGTCTTAACCATAGATGGATTTGTAACTTTGTTTAAAAAGGAGAAAAAAATAGAAAAAAAAAAGATGACTAATATAAAGACAGCACATCCAAACCACAAGAATGATCTTATTATAAAGAATTTGCATAGATTATCGCAGAGCTTAGCAATAAAAACAGCAAGAATGAGACAATGACATGCCACGATGTCAGTAACACTGAAATTCTTTGCTCTCTTGCCTTTTCTTTGCATTACAGAAAGAGCACTCTCAGGAAGCATAGACATAAAACAAGGAAAATGTTATTTATCTTATAGATAATATCCAAGCCAATTTTAAATCACCTAGGCTTAAACATCAAAAGCTACACATACATTTAGCTTTTGAAATATATCTTAGAAAGATGAGAAAATTCAGGTGGTGGATTACAGTAAGCAAAGAATTCAAAAGGTGAGTAGTCAGAAGTCAATTTTATAACTGACCAAAGATCAAAAAGCAAGCAGGACCAGGAAATGAAACAGTCTCATAGTATAGGACCAGTGTTGCAGATTACTACACTGTTACAGATAGTTAGGGTCCGGCGGCCGGAAGATATCGCGCTGTACGGAAAGGTAGAGCCCCTAATAGCCAATAGTGTTAGTTTATGATGTAAGCAGACGGATGTGATGTTGTAAACCTTAGCTATATAACACCTCGCTACCCATCAATAAATGCCATTTGCCGTCCACCACATTGGTGTCAGCGAGCTGATGGCCCGAGCGGCCTGGGGGTGGTCGCCGTGCCGTTCCTGAACCAGGTCGCCACGCCGCTTGAACGGCAACAGACCAGGAAATGAAACAGTCTCATAGTAAAAACAGTAGATCTTTCTCTATATATGCATATATATAGCTTACTGGTTCAAATGGCGCAAATTAAGTTAAAGCCGGGAGAGCCTTAATAAGTAATGGAGCTGATACCAAAAATACACCAAGTTTCACATGCAGCCCAGTTCTGTCCAGATTTCAACCAGACTGAATTACAGGAGTTTCGGTAGAACAAGCCAGATTTTACTATCACTCTCTAAATTCCAGTTCTGATATAAGTTCTGTTATATATGTTATATTTTACTATATGTGGTAATGTAAACTAATTTAAAACTTGGAAGACAGCCTAAAATTTTAGAAGACTTCGGTTCATGCAATAGCCTACAGCAGCTCATGAGTTAAAAGCTTAGTAAGATTTATCTGAACCACCCAGAAAGGTCAGGTGAGTCAAAACTCTACATTAAAGTTCTGTTTGATTCTTATCTGCCTATGTAACTTTCTATAAATACACTTAATTGTTTTTTTTCCTTCCTTCACAGACTGACCTATGGATCAAGGGGTAAATTCTTATAGACTGTATGAAACCTGGAAAATAAGAAGTGAACTCTCAAAATATTAGATTACAGGTACAGGCACGTAGCATAACAGAGTTAAGGTTAAATGAGCTAACTTCAGGACTGGAAGCAATAAAGGTGGGTGGCACTTTGGCATTGAACTCTCTCAAAACTGATTCTGACTTAATATCCCTCCAGATTGCTACACTGTGCCACAGAGATAAGCCATTTCAGTTAGAATAGGCTTCAGCTTTAATAACAGTGCAGTGAACTGAATAGTTGAGAAATATCTAAAGAGAGTTTTAGTGGGATTTTAGGGAGCAGGGGAATCTCATAAAGGATGAGCTGGTATAGTCATAAGAAACAGTAGGTTTCTCAGCTCAAAATTCATTGTAATTAACCAAAGAAAGGATAAATGTCCAGAAACATTAGTGAAAACCAGAAGGAAAAGAGATGTTCCCAGACAAGTTTTATGGGGTCAATTTTTTATTACAGTAAGGGAAGACTTTGGGCCAGGTTATGGGACAACTGGACAAAAAAGGACAAAACACATTCTGAGTACAGTCTGAAGAAATTGCCCATGACCCACACCTCCCAAGAGTCATACTTTGTGTATGAGATTCACTCATTTTGTTAATCTTCTACTTCCCAGGTCAGCACTGCCTCATTCATTGGCCATGCAGCATCACAGCCTCACCCTTCTTGAGGGACCCCTGTGACAGATGTAATTGGCACGGCCCCTGCACAGCTCTGTTTGGGAGAGGAGAGAGGACTTCAAAGACTCTGGAAGTTTCATCCAAGCTATCAAAGCCTGCATAGGGCAAAACTGGTAGGCAGTTCAATGTTTTGCCCTTCACTGACCAAGTCAGTAGTACTTTTCATGTTGGATGCAGAAGATAAATGAGAAAGGTAAACAAGTGACATCTGTTTTGGCAATTTGTGTGATCTCTGTTTTGGTTCTGTTCTCTTAGTTGAAAGTGAGTTGTTTCTGTTGCCCTTAAAGATCTGTTTACTTTGCTTAAATAGTGCAAAGAGGCCCTGGCAGACAACAAGGAATTAATTATATTTTGTGCACTGTATATAATTATTTATTAGTATTACATGAGTGGTGAGAGGTCAGTAAAGAACTGAATCCCATTTTATTAAACTCCAAGAGCTTGCCATATAAATGAATGCATCGGGGCAGAATAAAGGATTTAAATATACAGTTTGAGTTAACAATAATGGTTTATAAACATCACATTGCAAATATCTGGAACTTCTCTTTTATTGTCTTTGGTTGAGATCTTGGAGAGAAGAAGATTAGGTAAACAGACAAAAATCCTGAGAACAATACTAATGAAATGTGCATAAAACAAATGGGGAAATGAGGAGCCTAATGGGTTCTAGAGACCATAATAGATCCAACTCCTGTGTCTATACATAAACAGATTTCTAACACACAGTAGGCTACACGTGACATTCTCTTGTTGCTTTCTGCATGGGAAGTAGGGCCACATGAGAGAGATTTTAGCAATGTGGTAAGGTTCTCACCATATATATTGCACTTTTTGTAGAGCTTTTGCCCTATAAAATGATGAGAATACTGGGAGTCAGTAAATGATATGATTTAAATTTGAAAATAGCTCCCCAGAATCTTATGAATCCATTGAAAGTTAACTAGCATGAGAACATTGCCATTCAGTGTTCTGGGTCCATCTGTTGGCAATATCATGATGGAAACAGCTTTTTAAATGCTATTTTCAATAAGCTATCACAAGACAGCTTGTTCCAACAATATTCCAATACCTTTCTGCCGCCTACTATAAAAAACAAGTTAGAGGGAAGGAGGCATTTCAGTATTATAGTGATGCAGGGTGGGAGAAACAGAGAGACCATAGGAAGAAGCAAAACAAGAAACTATAAAAAGAGAAAAGAAGGAGAAGCTGTTATTTTAGAATCCCTGCTATGTAGATTTAAGCCAGGATATGGAACGCTTCATATCCTGGAGGTTCCACCTCCATCACTTTCAACTCACACAACACCAAAGCAATCCCTCCTTCAGAGTTTTTGCTAAAATATACATACATCCATCAGCTTATCTATCAAGCAACACCTGCCTCAGCAACATACTGATGATACCAGTTCTGCACCCACTAGAGTCAAAGTGGCCTCGTGTCAGAGATCAGCCATTAATAACAGACAGGTGGTTACATTTGAATAATTGCTGGAGAGAGGTAGAGGGGCTTTTTATTAAGATTCAAACCAAAAAAAAAGTTTCATAATAGCAATTAATCAATTTAGTGTATAGTTTTAGATTTTTTTCCTTATTCTTCTTGTAAAACATTTAAGGTCATGGCTAGCTAAGCAGGGGCTAGACCAGAAAATCCCCTCAACTTTCTTCTCTATTATTCTATGTTCATATGTATCTAAAATAAATTGTTGTATGTATCTAAAATAAATTCTTATATGCTGTTTACTTCCCTCTAAAGTAACCAGCAACTGAATAAAGTTCTTGTTTTTCTTGTTTTAAAGATGTCTCATAGATGAAGCCCAGAATATTTAAGAGACAATGAAAAGAAAGAGATGCATATTTGCTGTATTCGGTGGGGAACTATGAGAAAGCATTCAGATTTCAAAGCACAAAGTATATTGTTTACAAAATACTATTAGAAATGCATGAAAAAGTTTACAGTTAGGAAGGATGAAAGTGAGAAAACAATACCATAAAAAAAGGTAAACTCAAGAAGGTTTAAAGCACTATGGTACCATGTAAATGGAAATCTAGAAAGAGAAAATACGAAGAGAATATATGAAGAAGTAATAGGAAAACACAGTCATAAAAACAGAACATAAACCTGTATGTAAATTAACAGTGCATACAAAATGCAAACTATTTCATAAAGATTCCATTCAGTATTAGTTCTGTGAGAAAAAAACATGTACTGGTATCTCTCTGTATATCAGCTCATTCATAAAATATTCAACTTTCTCCTTATGTTGTCAAAATTGCTTCCTGAGTATAAAAATATTTTGGATTCTATATATCTATCTTGATCTATCTATAGGTATATAGTGCTAACATCCTAATACAGTGCATGCATCATATCCTGCTTGTAAAACGAGAAACACAACTAATAGCAGTATGTTTTTAGTGATCACCTACCTGAGGACGTATAACTTTTACTATGTTTTTAAGTGCAGTGTCTGGTGATGGAGGAGAGCAGTCAGGTGTTGGGCCTGTAGAGCTGTTTCTATGGCTACCAGATCCTGGTGCAGTAATTGCTACCTGGGGTGCATTATCTGTGAATAAAAATAACATTTATGTGAACTTACACATATGTTATAAATTTAAAAATCAGAAACTATTTAGAAAACAAAACATGATTCAGAACAATATTTCAGTTTTCAAAAATTGTTCTGATTTAAATGTATATGGTAAGGAATATATTGCATATAAACTCTTACTTTTTCATTCCATAATTCATTCCATGTTGAGCAAGGATAGAGCACTCTTTTAATACCTAAATATAACAAGTCACAAAACAACAATATATCTTTTTCCTGAATTACTGATTGTGTATCTAAATGCTGTCATTAAAACAAGGGTGATTTAAAAAGTAGGCTTTCTAATGTAGCTCATATGTCATCTTGGTAAATCATGGCATGTAGATTCCAGTTCAACAAGTTATATAAACATATACTCGATTTAAAACATGCTAATAATTTTCAGTTCTACCTTTCCTGAACATTGTAGCTGATCGGCAAGGAGTCATTACATGAAAATACACTCAGCTTCTCAGATGACACTTCTATCCTACATAAAGCTCTGCTCCACAATATCTGCCGTTCTAGAAGCAACTCAGCTAGATAACCTAAGAATGGCTTAGAAATGTCCACACACTTGCAGATCTTGGGAAGCTCCTCTTCAGACATCTTTTGTGCCCTACAATTATACAGGGAGTTATTGCCCTTCCTATCTTCTTTAAATATTCTTAATGCTGTTAGAACAATATAAAGTAACATTAAGTGAGACTCAGGCCAGAGAACTATGAAATTAAGCCTAACTTCCCAGCTGGGATGGGAATGACTCAGCCTGAGATCAGAATTTCCACATTACTTCAGGCCTTTAAAACTACATTATTAATGAAATAAATTAGTCCAGATTCTGGTAAAATTTCATTGCCTCTGCATGGCCATGGTGGTCTTTAATTATGTATTTATAGACTACCTTTCTTTACAGGCTACAGAGACACATGGGCCAAATTCCTCAAAAACTTGCAAAAACTACATTCAAATCTCTTATCTGGGGGCCTTAAATTATGCAGTCTGCAGGATTCATGAAGGAAAAGCTTTTTCTATTAAAAAAAAAAAGTAAAAAGTTGTAGGACTCCTTCCTTCATAGAAAAAAAATATGTATCAAAAAGTATTAAGCTTTCAGAATCTAAAAATAAAGCACAGAACAAAATACCAAACAATATTTTTCATTGAAATAAACATCCCAGAAGAACCCAACTACAGAACATTTCATGGTTTCAATTCTTCCTCAAGGTAATAAGGCCTCTGACATATAATGGCTTCTTGTAAACAATAACCTTTTGTGGACAGCTGTTTATTTTCACAGTAGGATCTTCCCATTAGACAACCAATAATTATTTAGTACCTGAGATTGCTCCAACAGAGAGAAATATCACCATGAAATTAACTACTGCAAATAATTTGGGGCACTTTTTGGGTACATACATACATATATATAGTATTCATAGTTTCATTAAGAATAAAGGTGAATATATTTTATTTTATAATTACATGAATTAATAATTATTATTCTCTCATTTACTTCTCTCTTTTTGCTGGCAATGAAACTAACAAAACTAAAGCACATGTCTGAATGAAAGGTTTGGGATTTTTTTTTCTTTATGGAACCATAATCAGATTAGGACCTTGTAGCACATCTGACTCCAGATCAGAAGGCTGTGTGTTTGAATTGCGTCGGGGTCACTTGTTTTTTTGAGGTTCAATGAGGACAAGTGCAGGGTCCTGTACCTGGGAAGGAATAACCCCAGGCACCAGTACAGATTAGGGGTTGACCTGCTGGAAAGCAGCTCCGTGGAGAGGGATTTGGGAGTCCTGGCTGACAACAGGTTAACCATGAGGCAGCAATGTGCCCTTGTGGCCAAGAAGGCCAATGGGATCCTGGCCTGCATCAGGAGGAGCGTTGCCAGCAGGTCGAGGGAGGGGATCCTGCCCCTCTACTCAGCTCTGGTGAGGCCGCACCTGGAGTATTTGGTGCAGTTCTGGGCTCCCCAGTACAAGAAGGACATTGAGCTTCTAGAGACTGTCCAGTGGAGAGCCACGACGATGATTAAGGGATTGGAGCATTTGTCATATGAGGAAAGACTAGGCAAGCTGGGCCTGTTTAGTCTGGAGAAAAGAAGGCTGAGAGGAGATTTGATCAACATGTTTAAGTAACTGAGGGATGATTGTAGGGAGGATGAGGCTGGGCTTTTCTCCGTGGTGGCGGTGACAGGATGAGGGGTAACGGGTGTAAGTTGAAACACAGGAAGTTCCACCTCCGCATGAGGAAGGACTTCTTTGCTGTGACAGTGACAGAGCACTGGAACAGGTTGACCAGAGAGGTTGTGGAGTCTCCTTCTCTGGAGATCTTCCAAACCCACCTGGATGCCACCCTGTGCCATGTGCTCTGGGTGTCCCTGCTGCAGCAGGGGGTTGGACTAGATGATCTCTAGAGATCCCTTCCAACCTCAACTATTCTGTGATTCTGTGAGATTACTGCAAGTTTTAGTGCAATTTTTTCATGGCAAAAAAAACTTTACCTCTGAGATTTACCTAAAATGGATTACTTGCTATACTAAGTTTCTGATAAATGCTTTGGATGGGACAAGCTGGAAAGTATTTTGTGGTTCTTTCATTTTCTTCTAGTTTCTGACTCAAATTACAGTAAGCTAAGGGATGTTTCAGTATAAATCAGATAAGAATAGGCTCCAGGGATCAATTGCAGCTAAAAATTACTGAACTGCAGTCTAC